TACACTCGTGCAATGTTTTTCTCACACAGAAATTAAGGGCATTTGGAAGTCCAGACCAAAGTCCGAACCAAGCTTCATGTTTTTGTTACATTGTGTCCATTACATCCAGTTAGTTTTAGTTTCACACTTCAATTTAGCGAGCGCACCAAAGAACTTTGCATGACATCACCTACGTGGGCTGCGTCTCCCTATACTTGACAACGATTGGTTTGTAGAGGAGCATCTCATACAGGCGTGTTGTCAGTTTGGCAGGTAGCCTTTTCTGTTTGAATGAAGAAAAATAAATCTCTCTCTCATCCTCTCAAAAAATAAGGTATAAGTTTTGGCATTTTTTTTCCTTTTTCAAGTTGACTTTTCATCGGACCAAATTACAGTGAAGTATTTCGTCTTCTCCTCTTTCTGTGTGCTACTGCGGCTCATTTTTACTTCTCTCTTGTTTTTTTTCAATTCCCTTATTGTTTAATGGGTGGCGATACCTCACCTCAACTTCCTGTAATCGACCTGAAAGTTCAAACCATCCAAAAAAAAGTGTTTTACACAGCAAACTAACTAAACCATGGTTCAGTTTGATCTGGACCGAGACCACCTCTTCTGGTCAGACCACATTTTGGTCCTTTGGTCTGAGCCATGGTCCAAGGCACCTTTCACACCTGCTATTTTGGTTTAGACCAAACTGAAAGTCCAAAGGTCCTGACCAAACAACATAGGTGTGAAAGCAACCTAAAACTCAACTGTGAAAACAAAATTTGTGATAGAAACTTTCTGATTTGCCCACCATTCTGTATTGCTTTAGTGCAGTAGCAGCCATGCATTCTGGAGGGGCAAATATTTGCTGCTTATCTCAAGCAGTGGGCCACTAGAATCATGTAGCCTATAAAAAAAACACTGCTATGACATTCTTCACTTACAAAAACAACACATTCTCAGGCTTTTTGTTTTGCTGTAAAATCAGTTTATGTGGTAAGTACCATGAGGACACTGTTCTCGGAAAATCCCTTAGAGTAGCTTCAGGCACGCTACAGCAGTTAGTGTTGTAGGCTACGACATTAATTTAGCTAGCTACTAATGCTAAAACAGCAGATGCCGCTGAACACATCAGTATCCTAACAAAAACTAAGTTCTCATTAGGTTGCAGAGACGAAAACTCATGAGCAGCGAAAAAGGTGACAAGTTTAGCGTACGGTGCTTGGATCCCGATGATCGCCACTAGCACTGTAATTTGTAGACAGTCGTTTAACTTCATAGCAGTTTTTAGAATTGAACACATTCTAAAACAATTTCAGATGAGAACTCTGTGGAAGCTGATTGTCTTGGACACTAACAATGATAATTTCCATGTTAACCTGTTGAAAACTACTGAAGAAAGAAATCCAAATATGTGAAAATGAAACCAACTCCACTGCTCACCAAACGTGGCTCTCTTTTCATGTTTCTGTAAAGTTATCTTTGTTCTGATTGGCCAATAAAAAATTAATATTATATCAAATAATGACCTTTATTTGAGCCCCTGAGTGACGTTTGCCTGAATCGCCACATGGGAGCCACCAGAGCTGCTAGAGTCACCAGAGCTCCATCTCTGTTGGCTGATCTGCACCATTTTGACCACCATGGAGCTTCACGCTGTACAAAGCTGTGTACATCTCACCTGCATGAACTGACCCTCCTGCTGCTGCTGCTGCTGCATAAACTCAAACTATCTAATTAACCATTGCTCCACCTGTTTTCTACGTTTTGTATTCTAATATTTTATACTAATGCTGTTTGCTATCTGGTGTCGACCAGAGGAGGATGGGTTCCCCTTTTGAGTCTTGGTTCCTCTCAAGGTGTCTTCTTCTTGCTCTTAGGGAGTTTTTCCTTGCCACTGTCGCCATTGTCGACGCTCATGGGGGCTCGGACCCGGATTTTTCTAAACTGCTTTGTGACAACACCTGTTGTAAAAAGCGCTATACAAACGAACTTTGACTTGACTTTTGACTTGCGAACTGCTGCTGTGAAGGATTGAGGAGGGATTCCGTCTCAGAATTCTCTGCCGGCAGTAGACCACCCGCTCCACACCCCTAAACTAAAAAATATACACAATTCACGTAAATGGCATGTTCAGCATCCAAAATGACAAATTTGCATGTGTAAGTCTGAATGAGATTTTTGCCAACGTTCTGTAAAGCTTGCCCAACTTTGCAAGTGTAGCTACAACAGAACACACGGGCATGAATGGGTGGATTCAGAGGAGCCTCTGAATATCAGACAGAAGTGTGTTAGATAAGGATCAGACCTTCTTATGTGTGTTGGTGCAGTGTAGGGATCAGCCAACACGCCACTGCTTCATTACGTCCTCAGTAACAAGCCTCTACATCACGCTAAACACCCAAAGAAAGGCATCTCCAACTCCAGACCTTCCAGGCGACGGCACTAACACACCTGAACTGCCGAGGGAATGTCTTAAAATCTACCCCACTCACACTATCCAAGCCGTATTCTCTGCTATACACTTTACTGCATCACCCCAACGGCTCGCTGGCTCGAACACACCTGATTCAGCACATGAAAGGTCCGCTAAGCTAATGAGCTGACTCAAGGGTGTTACAGCAGAGCTGCGATTGGGAACCACTGCCACACTCCTTTACTAATGGCACAGAATGCTGCAACACTGGACAACTGACATCTTCATTAGCCCTAGCAGATGAATAAATGCTTTAGATAGATAGATAGATAGATAGATAGATAGATAGATAATATTGCACACTGCAATATGAGCTACTACAGTGCCTGTATTATAAAGCTTTTGTCAGTTTTTGAAACAGTTTATCTTCTTTGGTTAGCAATGTTCTAGCTAGGTAGTTCTAGCCAGCCAAAACAGCAATTATGACATAAAGAACCCACTGTATTTTTCACTATTAATGACATAAGCAGAGAGCACAAGCATAGCTTCACTACAAAATGAGAGGGTGAGCGTGGTAGAGCCACACTTGTAGCGTTAGCTAGTGACCTAGTTAGCTAGATAGCAAAATACTTACCAGCTGCTAACAGGCTGCCAGCATCATATCGTAAAGCAACACTTTTACAAGTAACCTAAGCTGTAAAAGTCAACTGGTATGGAAAATACATTCACTGGGCAGTTTGATTTAAACTAAGTTTAGACTAAGCTAGCTAGCTAATTCTTAGATATGCTTTCTTTTCACATGAGTAAGTCAAGTCTGAGACATTGGCTGCAACCAAAACCACTGCATTATTCCATTCTCCATTAAAGGCCTCTACGTCACACTAAACACCCAGTGAAAGGCACCTCCAACTCAGACTTGGAGGGCCACGGTACAAACTGGAAAACTGGAAAAACCGTGCAGAGGCTGGACTCAACACAGGCCTATAATGTACAGTAATGGGCGGCGGTGATGTGTGCACCATGTGTGCTTTGGTGATTTTAAAGTATTATGTATTAATAACATTTTAGAATGTATGGTTAGGGTTAATGAAATTACTGCATATCACTAAGGTGATATTACTGTACGTACATCGTAATGCTACAGTAGCTGTGCATTGGTGATATAACGTGAACGTTTGTGATATTACAGTATGTATGCATTGTTAGTATTACATCATGTATGCACTGGTGATATGGCATGTGCATTGGTGATATTACAGTATGTATGCATTGTTAATATTACAGCATGCATTCATTGGTACGGCATGTGCATTCTGATATTACAATATGAATGCATTACAGTTTACATGCGTTGGTGATCTGGCATGTGCATTGGTGATATTCCAGTATGTATGCATTTCTAGTATTACAGTATGCATGCATCAATTATATTACAACATGTATGGTGTTACAGCACTGATGATATGGCACATGCATCGGTGACAGGGCAGCATGTCTGTATAGATGACAGGATGGCTTGTGCATTCAGATATAACAATATATATGCCCTGATCACGTTATATTACAGTATCTATGCACTGGTGCTTATGTGGCACGTGCATTGCTGATATTACAGTATGCATCAAACGGTGATATCACAGGCCTGGGCAGAGCGTGCATTTTGTTCTGTGATGCTACAGCTAGAGGACGTAGTCAGCACACTTGATGCATCTCCTGGATGGAGGATTTGATGCAATATGCAAAGAGAAATTCCTCTGATTTAATTTATTTATTTGCTCGTTAATTTATTCATTTTCGCATCGTGGATGACGGGCTTTGCCCGTCCAGCGACATCCGGGCCCTTGGTGGGGAGGTGGGGGGTGGCGAAGAGGGGCGGAGGGGGCAAGTACTCCGAGTGTGGCGTCATTCTGTGTACGGATCGAGGCGTTGTTTTTTTTTGTTTTCCCGCCCGTATTCCGACAAAGCGACTAGAAGCGAAGCGTTCCAGAACGGCGGACCGCTTGAGCCAGCCTATCATAGTGCAAGAGGGGCGGGGCTTCGTCGTTCTAGAACGCCAGGGCTGCTCGTGAAGGTGAAGCACCAGCCAATCCAGTACGGGAAGGCGGGCGGGAGCTAGCCAATCCCAGCAAAGGATGGGCGGGGCTTGTCGGAATACGGGCGTGAATCGAAATATTTAATAAATAACGCCTCGGTGGCCACGTAGGGCGCATGCGCGGCGGCAGCAGCAGCAGCTGCGCTGATCGCTACAGTATGCGGATGGACGGCTGCTCTTTTACACGTTCAAGGAAAAAAAGCTCGCGTTTCGGGCAGAGCTATAACGCTACACGGGCAAACACTACTGTATAACCCCCCCGCCCCCCGTGCACACCCACCCACCCACCCCCACCACCCTCCTGCATTCAGCCAGATGAGCAAAGCAGGGCCTGCTAACATGAAAAAATGGAGAATGGCACACACAGAATGGAAAATGCATGCAAATAAAAGGCTGCAGCGATGCATGCGGGCGTGCATTTGTGCATGCACGGTCTGCAAATGAACACGAGTGCACGTGAAGGGTAGCTGAGGCTTTATGGAGCACGCATATCATAATGCATACGAAATGAATGGCCGCTTCACTTACGTGATCCGAGCTCCGGTCAGTGGCAGACGGCAAAGCAGACCGCGAGGACATTTTTTTATTTATTATTATTATTACTGTTATTAATATTATTATTATTGTTTTCCCTGAGATTCCAAACGAATAACGAGAGAGATGTTCTTGTTTTTCTCCTCCGTCTTCTGCACGGTTAATCTCCTCCTCGCGCGCACAGCGTCAGACGGAGGGCCGTGGTGGTGCTGCTGCTGCTGCTGCAATCGCGCCGCGCGCGCTGACCCCAACCCTCGGGCCCCCGTGCTGCAATCGCGCGCGCTAGCCGGCTACGCCGCGCCCGCCCGGGGAAGCCCCGCGCGCCCTCATGGCGGCACGTCTCTGCGGGTTCTCGCGCTCTCACGGAGGACGCTCGTCAGGGCAGCCGCGTCTCCATCCTCGGCGTCGTCGTGGTCGAGGCGGTGTTGGCTGTGGTGGTCGTCGTCGTTCCCGTCGTCCTCCCGGCGCGCGTGCACACACGAGCAGCAGCGATCTAGAAGCGGTTCGGCGGCGCGCGCCCTGGCGCTAACAAACGGCGATGATGCTGCTGCTGCTGCAGCTGCCCGCCGCCCCGAGCCTCATGTCCGCGAGAGAAAACAAACAGTGCCCCCCAGCAGCAGCGGCAGCCCCCCTCCCGCAGCAGAGCACTCGGTGCCTCGCGCGCGCTCGCTCTCCCGGTCTGTGTGTGTGTGTGTGTGTGTGGAAATAAAAACACAGCGGAAGCTTGGACCGGATGACGAAGACCAGAACGGTTCGCGTACTGAAGCCCCCCTCCCCTCCTCTCACTCCTCCCCCCCTCCGTTATTCCAGCTGCAGGTTTCGCGAGATGCGCCAGCCGCTGCTCGCCCGCGTGAGATTAAAAGGTCTTTGGTCTGGAACGCACGTGCAGTATATTAAAAAAAACCGTCTATAATAAACACATGAGTGAAACTGAGTTGAGACCGCAGTGAACTACCGATCAACCAGACTGCTTTCTGCCCTGGCTGTGACGTCATCTGTATCGCATCTTAATCTTGAAAATTAATTTAAATTAATTTAAATGTAATTAATGTAGTTTAGACTAGGTCAGTGTACAGCCTGTTCCTGGCCAAATGACACATTTTGTTCATTTTCTGAGTGGAAATAAGAAAACACATATCCCAGGTGGTTGCTAAGATGTTGCTACATCGTGGCTGTGTTATCCCAAGTGGTTGTTAAGGTGTTGCTAAGTCGTTGCTATGCTATCCCAGGCGGTTGCTAAGGTGTTGCTAAGTCGTTGCTATGCTATTCCAGGTAGTTGCTGAGGTGATGCTAAGCCATTGTTAGCTATCCCAGGTTGTTACTAAGGTGTTTTTAGGCAGTTGCTATGGTACCCAAGGTGGTTGCTAAGGTGTTGCTAAGGCATTGCTATGCTATCCCAGGTGGTTGCTAAGACGTTTCTAGGCAGCTGCTATGCTATCCCAGGTGGTTGCTAAGATGTTGCTAAGTCATTGCTATGCTATCCCAGGTGGTTGCTAAGGTGTTGCTAAATCGTTGCTGTGTTATCCCAGGTGGTTGCTAAGACGTTTCTAGGCAGCTGCTATGCTATCCCAGGTGGTTGCTAAGGTGTTGCCTCGTCATTACTGTGTTATCCTAGCTGGTTGCTATGGTGTTGCTAAGTCATTGCTAAGCTATCCCAGGTGGTTGCTAAGGTGTTACTAAGTCATTGCTATGCTATCCCAGGTGGTTGCTAAGATGTTGCTAGCTGTTGCTGTGTTATCCCAGTGGTTGCTGAGGTGTTGCTAAGTTGTTGCTGTGCTATCCCAGGTGGTGGCTAAGATGTTGCTAAATTGTTGCTATACTATCCCAGGTGGTTGCTAAGATGTTTTTAAGCCATTGCTGCGATATCCTACTAGGTTATTAGGTTTATTGCATTACTAGGTTATTGCTGTGCTCTCCCAGGTGGTTGCTAAGATGTTGCTAAGCCGTTGCTATGCTATCCCAGGTGGTTGCTAAGGTGTTGCTAAGTCGTTGCTGCGTTATCCTACTGGTTATTAGGTTTATTGCAGTACTAGGTTATTGCTGTGCTCTCCCAGGTGGTTGTTGCTGAATGAGCACAGCAACCACCATAAACTTGACAAGCAATCTGTCGAAGTATCTCATCACACTCATATGAAACTGACGCGTAAAGACCGCCGTGCTGAAGAAGAGGGAGCCGTTGACACGTTCTGAGACTTTACAACTGGGCGTAAAGTTTTGTGCATACTACAATGACCAGTTTATCTCATATAAAGTAACTGTGCATCAACATCTGCAGATATTTTTTTTCTTTAGTAGTTCAGTAGGGTGTGTTTACTTCTTTTCACTTCAAAAGTCAAAAAAATAGTGCCAGAGTGCGAAATTTTTTGCCTACAACAGTATATTGTAAATGAATGTAAATGTGTGTTGTATATATATTTTGTATGCATGTAATTTGCATTTAGTGAATACAGATGGTGAATTCACCCTTTGTGGCTGCGCATTGTACAACCCCATCTCCAAAAAGTTGGGATGCTGTGCAGAATGTACATAAAAATACAATGCAATGATCTGCAAATCATGTAAACCATGTTTTTAAAGGAAAATACTACAAAGACAACAAATCAAATGTTGAAACTTTTAGTGTTTTTGAAAAATACATGCCTATTTTCAATTCGATGCCAACGACACTTTGCAAAAAAGTTGGGGCCTGTTTACCACTGAGTTACATCACCTCGTCTAAGCGTTTGGGAGCTGAGGAGACACTGCTGTAGTTTTGATAGTGAAATGTTTTCCTGTTCTTGTTTAACATAGGATTTCAGCTGCTCATCAGTTCAGGGTCTCCTTTGTCTTATTTTTCATAATGTGCCAAATGTTCTCAGTGGTGACAGGTCTGGACTGCAGGCAGGTCAGTTTAGCCAATGCTGCTGTAATACATGCAGAATGTGGTTTTACATTGTCTTACTGAAATAATCAAGTCCTTCCCTGAAAAAGACGTCGTCTGGACAAGATCTGCAGGCGTCTGCGTCTACAGCTCCGTCTTTGCGTTGTCTTGTGTGTAGGCACCCTTACACCACTTTACCAGCCTTTAGTTGCCCCCGTCCCAGCTTTTTTGGAACGTCTTGTTGCATTTAAATGATTTAAAATGAGCAAACATTTTTCAAAAAACAATCAAATTTGTTTCAGCATTTGATTTGTTGACTTTGTACTATTTTCCATTAAATATAGGGTTTAAATGATTTGCACATCTTTGTATTTTGTTTTTATTTACATTTTGCATAGTGCCTCAACTTTTTTGGAAATGGGGTTGAATTTATTTGTATTTACATCTATGTATTTTTTTAATTTACCTAAGCACTGATTTCACCATGCAAGTGTTACTGGCCAGTAAAGCAACTCTGAATCTGTTTCTGATTAACAAATGTGGCACTAAATGTGCCAAAAATTAATTTTCCATTTTCTTTACTGAAAACTGTGGTCAAAGCTACAAGATCACTGCGCTTAAATGTTTACCATGGACCTGATTTTAGAGGGGTTTATTCTAATAACACACGAATGTAAAGTGTATCACAGAACATCACCAAGCACTGAATTTGTGTCCTGAGGTTTACAACCAACAGCTCAGCAAGTACGCAGGCATCATCAGAGCCAGGTGAGCACACGTCACTGCTCACGGCCAGCAGATGGCGCCACAAACATATGTGAAACAGCTTATGAACTCGAATAGAGTGTGTTAAAAGGGGAACTCCACCAACATTTCTGCATGATTAAATGGTTGACCTGTCAACAGTGTCATTCAGAGTGGTTTGGTGTGAAATGCTCCATCCTACAGAAACTTACAGAGTCAGAATTGTTCACAGTGGTGGTGAATGGAACCAGTCGTCCGCCTCTAAAAGCTATAAATACACCGCCTGGTGTCTGAGAGACTGTTTTACGGTAGCTGTGTGATAAAGTTTTGGTCTAAATTGTATTTTAATCCACTCATGGTGGAAGGATACATGGAGGATGTTCTAAGGCAAAATAGTCCCCAAAGAAAACTTTTTTTTTTTCTATTGACAATAATTTTACCATCATCTACATTACATATAAACTCAGAAGACCCGTGTAGGTTCACTGGTGGGTTTGGATAGTAAATAAAACGGCTATATCTGTGATGGGACTTCTGGTTCCTATCATCACCACTGTGAACAACATCTGTGTTGCTAAGTTTCTCTACAAATGAATTATTTCACATCAAATCACTCTGACTGACTTTGTTTACATCTCAACCATGGAATTATGGAGAAATTTTGAAAAGTCGGTGGAATTTCCCTTTAAATGAGCTGAGTGAGCTCAAATAACTTAAAAAGTGTGCTTAAATCCACCTCTGTGCTCAGAAGTTCATGTTCTCAGATATAAGCTGAGGATAGACTAGGCCCTTCATTCAAGCACAGCTTTTGTTTAACATTGAAGGGCATCTCCACCAATTTTTCAGAATTCCTTAATAATTCAGTCCTTGAGATGTAAACAGAGTCATTCAGAGCGGATTGGTGTGAAATGTATGGAGCCCTGCTATCATCCTGTATAAATAAAAATAATGCGTGGCCACAGCGTATTAACGTGTGGGAACGAGATCCTGCTGCATGGCCATGACTAAGTAAGGCGTGGGAATGAGATCATGCCTTATTGAGCTATGGTCAATCCTTAATTATCTCATTCCCACGGCTTACTAAATCGTAGCTATGCATTAGGATCTCGTTTCCATGCCTTACTAAGTTGTGGCCACACATTATTTTTATTTATATGGAATATCACCAGCAGGGCTCTGTAGAAATGGTTCACTGTAGATTCAGATTTTATTTACTATCCAAAACCACCAGTGAACCTACACGGGTCTTCTGAGCGTTTATGATGGTGTAACAGTCATAAATCTGAAAAAATACGTTTTCTTGGTGACTCTTTTGCCTTACAATGCCCTGCATGTACCCCTCCGCCATGAGTGGATTAAAATAAATGGATTAAAATACATTTAAGCCAAAACTTTATCACAAAACTCATGTGTGAGGGAGCTTTCAGAGGCATTAAACCCAGACGTCTGGTTCCTATCACCACCACTGTGAGCAATTCTGATCGTTTCACACCAAACTACTCTGAATTAAATTATTCACATCCCAAAAACGTGAAGTCCCCATTTAATCTAAATTAATCTCCATGGCAACAGGATGACTGCAAGCAATAACACAAGACGCTGATGTAAA